TGTTAGCAGAGTACTGTTGGTGGTTGACAAGAGATCTACCATCAACATCGAAAAAGCGAAATCGTAATCCATTTCGTAGATTATTTGTCAATAAAATAAATCGTTATCATAAAAAAGAGTAATACGCTTAAATTTGTATGGATATTTTTTTGAATTGTACATATTTCAAACAAATTTAGCGATCAACAAAACCCAAGATACCATAGTTTTAGTTAACATTTTATAAATGTTGATTATTTGACCTTCAATTGACCTTGAAAAACATCTGATGGGGCCAAACTGACCCCGAATTCGAATGTAGTGATCCTAAAAACATATAAGTACTATAGTCGCGTTTCTGAGACTGCCATTTTTTTGTGTGGCTGTGTAATCATTTCCAGATTACATCTCGTATTTTCTAGAATAGTACGAGGTAGTCTTTATTACTCTTTCATTTTTTTTGGAAAAAAATGGTTAATCAGTCTTTTTTACAATCTGATGAATACAACTATGTAAAAATACCTAGCTTATATTTACGTATTGTCTTTGTTGAAAATTAGATAGGAATAAAGAAAAAAACAAACATTCATTGATCATTTTTTTGTGTTGTTTGTTCATACATTTGTTTCATACGGAAAAGTACTGTATTTTACGTTATACATAGTTTTTCAAAGCATCTTTCTTTTCAATTTATTTATGACTTACCTAAATACTTATCTTTTGCGGTTCCAATATATTTGTACGAGGGTCGTTTGAAAAGTCCATGCAAAGTCAGAGAGATGGCGCTACTATGCGTATCAAGGTTATTTTCAGTTAGTGGCATATCTTGGAAGAGCACACACCAAGTTTCAGCCAGATCGGCCAATTACTTTGCGTTTTACATTCGTTTAAATCAAAGAAATCGAGTGGTTGTACAAAAATGGACGAAAAAGAATTTCGTGTATTGATTAAACATTACTTTTTCAAAGGCAAAACGCCTCAGGAGATTAAACAGAAGCTTGATAAACATTATGGTGATTGTGCACCTTCGATTAGAATGGTTTATAAGTGGTTTCAAAATTTTCGGAGTGGCCATATGAGCACAAAAGACGCTGAACGTTCTGGACGCCCTGTTGAGGTTACCACTTCAGAAATCATTGATAAAATCCATAATATGGTGATGGCTGACAGAAGAGTGAAGGTACGTGAGATTGCTAGTAATGTAGGCATCTCGAGCGAACGGGTACATAATAATTTTCACCAACATTTGGACATGAAAAAGCTATCCGCTAGATGGGTGCCGCGATTACTCACGATTGACCAAAAACGAGATCGTGTGAAGTGTTGTAAGAATGGTTTGCAGCTGTTCCAGCAAAATCCGCAAGACTTTAAGCGTCGTTTCATCACTGTAAATGAAACATGGATACATCACTATACTCCTGAGACCAAAGAACAGTCTAAACAATGGGTTATTAAGGGGGAATCTGCTCCGAAAAAGGCGAAGACAATTCCTTCGGCCGGGAAGGTTATGGCGACTGTCTTTTGGGATTCGCAAGGGATAATCTGCATTGACTATCTGGAAAAGGGTAAAACCATTACAGGCGAATATTAATCATCGTTATTGAATCGCTTGAAAACCGAGTTGCTAGAGAAACGTTCACTGATGGCCCAGAAAAAAGTCCTCTTCCACCACGACAATGCGCCACCAGCTCACGCCTCACCGGTTGTGGCCGCAAAACTGACGGAGATAGGGTTCCAACTCGTTTCACATCCCCCCTATTCTCCAGACTTGGCTCCGTCGGACTACTATTTGTTCCCTAATATGAAAAAATGGCTGGCGGGGAAAAAATTTTATTCAAACGAGGAGGTGAATGCAGAAACGAATGCCTATTTTACAGACTTGGACAAATCCTATTATTTGGAAGGGATTAACAAACTAGAGCAGCGTTGGATGAAGTGTCTAAGCCTAAAAGGAGACTATGTTGAAAAATAAAAAAGATTTATTAAAAAAATTAAGCAGATTTATTTTTGCACGAACTTTTCAAATGACCCTCGTATATATGTTATTAAGTAGCACTAGAAAGTGCTAGCTTAGCAAATTTCATAAGATTTATAAAGTACTATTTTTTTTATTGAACAAATAGTTTGTCATATACATTATTTAACATTGTAAAGTGTTGCTTTGTTATAAATGTTGAATATAGCAAATCATACTGTTAGCTGTTTTTAGTAGAGTTAGTGGCCCGGAAAAGGGCTGAAATGTATTATAGCTATACTACCCATGTACGTCATAATTGCTGTGTGAAGAAAAGTGCATGCGCCATCAAAAAATTATATTAATACACATGTACGAAGGTACTCCATTCTAATAGCATATGATTTAGCTACTACCACTACTATTTACAGAGGCCAATACGTTTTCACACCCACAGATCGGATGTGGTATACCCGAACTGAATCCAAATCCGAGCTCAGAATTGCTTCATCACTCTCAGTTTTGGATATAGCTTAACCTAGAAGCATCAAAAACACATTTCTAACTAATATCCAACCGCTGTAAATTTGTGAAAAATATTATTCTGCAAATTTGACGATGGTACTTTGAAGAAAAACTCTTACTCTTCAAAATACACTTCTCATTTATACAATATCATTTTTGTTCGTAAGAGATATGACACAATGAAATATGTCAATTGGCATTTTTGCAAATGCCGTTTAAGCAAAGGAAAATTTCACTTAAAGATAATCTTCACTAAAAAATAAAATAATATCGCAAAGTACCTTGATAAAAAAACCCTCTACCCTGCTAGGTAATAATCTCAGCCTGCTACATCCCAAGTACCTCGACCACTGAATCACAAATTCCTTAACCCACTAATCCTGTATCTTATTAGGTTTACCACTGTTATCTTTCATTGAAACCTTCCTCTGCTTCAACAACATGTGCGAAAATTCAAATTTGTCGTATTTCAATGAGTCATATCTCTATCGAAAAAAATTATATTGAAAAAAATAAGAAATATGTTTTGAACGGCAAAAGTTGCTCTTTAAATAACATGGTCAAATTTGCTAGGAAACATTTTTGAACAAAGATATAGGAGTTGGAAAACAGTAAAAAAATATGTTTTTGATACTTTTAGATTAGGATATCTCAAAACTTGAGGGCGATGGAGCAATTCTGAGTTCGGATTCAGATTCAGCGCATCAAATTCCTTCAGAAATACGATGGTGGTCCGATAAGTACTTAGCGTACAAAAGAAAAACGAAAATGTTAGAGAAGTGGCGTTTTATTTTTCAACATAGTCTCCTTTTAGTTCGATACACTTGGCCCAGCGATGCTCCAACTTCTTTAACCCGTCTGAAAAATACGTTTCTTCGACATCTGCAAAGGAGGCCTCCGTAGCGGCGATTATCTTCTTATTCGACTCAAATTTCTGCCCGGCGAGCGACTTTTTCAAGTTTGAAAATATAAAGAAGTCGCACGGGGCCAAATCTGGAGAATACGATGGATGGAGCAGTTCGTAGCCTAATTCGACCAATTTGGCCATGGTGACGGCGAAGGTGTGAGCCGGTGCATTGTCATGGTGGAAGAGCACTTTTTTCTTTGCCAAATGGGACCGTTTTTTCTGCAATTCAACGTCGAATCGGTCCAATAATTCGGCATAGTACGGCCCTGTGGCCGTTTTGCCCGTCTCCAGGTAGTCGACGTACGACATCGCGTCGACAGCTTTCTCATGTCCAAAATTTCATGCAGGACATGACTCACGCGATCTTTTGAAATGCGTACGATCTCAGCTATCTCGCGCACCTTCAATCGTCGATCTAACAATTCGAGATACGCCTTGGCGTGGCTCATCAAAAACCGACGTGCGACCACGTTGAAACTCGTTAAACTAATTTTTAACGGTCATCCAAGCGCTTTTTGATTTCGCTGCGCGATTTTCCTTCCAAAAACAAGAATCGAATCACCCACCGATACTGCTCTCACATTCAGTCACAACAGAACTATGAGTCTGATTCGGCTGAAATTTTGACAGTAACCATCGACAAGGTTGTACTACATGGTAGTATATTTTTCTTGCGAGAGTGGCGCCATCGGGCGGTGAGGCTAAGTACTTATCGGACCACCTTCGTATCTTTTCTGCTCTCCAAGTACAGACTATTTTAAAATTTTGTCGGTCTGTGATATAATTAACTTATACACGTGACAAAATCAGAACAATGTAGCTATCTCCTACTTCTAATTTATTGGACAATAACTGATGAGCGCTGAATATTTGAGAAAATAAATAGAACCTGTATTGATTCGAGCTTGTCAATCAGTGGAGTGAATAAGATGTAGTGCAAAGGTAACGATATGATGAAACAAATAAGCGTTATCGATTCAAAAAAAGAATCTCATATATTCTAAAAATGCAAAAGAGTTTAAAATTTTTAATGAAATAAAACAAGTATGACAAAAATAATAAAAGAAATTAGGTCCATTATAATGGCTTTTGTGACTGAAAGGGTTAATTAATTAAATAATTAAATAATTAAAAATTCCATAAAACACAATCTTCATTAATGATACGCCTTTCGCCATTAATGTAAGCACCTTCAGATCCTTTATATTTAAAGTATTGAAAATAGTACACAATTACAAAAAAATTAAGAATCAAGTATAAAATATGATTGTTAAAATTATTATTAAATACCGATAATAGCTGTCATATAAATAGTTTCATATCTTATAGTTAAAATGTCGTTTGTTCCAGTTATTTTACATAAAATATTTAAATAGGGGAGAAAGGTATGATAGATGAAAGTTCAGGTGTTTGTGTGATCAATTAAAATGAGCAGCTAACACATTACTTATAATCTAAGAGTACTAATCTTAAAATACAGGAATATTGGATCACGACTAATTTGATGCCAAACTGATGGTTTCTTATATGAAGCTTCTCCAGTTTAGCTACTTAACAGTGATACATAGCTTATACTTAGTTGATTTCTACAACAAGTTATTGACAATCTTGATTCATATAAACATGTATACTTACATCAACATCAGCATTTAATGTTTCTATTAATTTGGACTTTGCTTCATCGCCGATGTAAATCTTCGTTTTCTCCTTTACAAAATCATTATCTTTGTAAGTAGGTAAATCCTTTTCTTTCTCCTTGTCGGATGCTTCACGATCTACAGTAGATCCTTTTAAATCAAATTTCTTATGCGTTGTCAAATGATTAGAAAAAACATTTCTTATAGATACAACGTAATGTTCCACTCCATCAACGGTCAATCTATACATTCCCAGATACTGTGGTAACAAGGTTTTCCCATGCCGTTCTACTATATACTATAATCAAGTATAATATTTTATTATATATAAATAACAGTATTTTTATTGTATGATAAAATCAATGAATAACAATTAACGTTAGTATAAAGAATCATTTAAAAAATAACAAGAAAACTCGTAGACATATGGATTAAAATTCATTTTCTAATCATATATTGAAAACTAGATCTTGCCAAAAAATTAGAAGCGTATTAGTTGATGCTGACTAGTACAGTAGGAAATAAAAAATAAATATATCCGTTTCTACATTACCTCTCGATACATTCAAATCGAAAACGATCGGTATTTATATACTAAGTACTTGAATTGATTAATTCATTAACCCTAGCCAGAAAATTTTGAGTTTTTTGATTTTCAAATGTAGGCATGAATCGTATATTAGTCATGATTGTATCGTTTGCAACGTAGAGACTGCTTAGTTTGGTACTTATTTGGCTGTCATCTTACAATATTATTATTTCTCTTTTTTACACCTGTCCCTAAGATAAAAGTTAACACTTTAGATCATTATTAGCAGATCGCATGGATATTTTCATATTTGAATGTGATTGTGAGAACGAAACACTTTTACCGGGAATTGCAAAATTATAAAACACCCGATGAGCCAATTTTTTTTTGCTATTTGACCTTATATTGGTACTGGTGAAATTGGTAATTATTAACTACTTATTTATTAGCTTCTTAGAGAAAACCAGTCAGACCCTATTAAAGTAAATCACAACAGAAATGTACTGTAGCGGAGATTTATCTCGTTGACACAAATAATAAATGATAGTGTAAGGAAATGTGATTAATCAGAGCTAGGTTAGGCAGGATGGCTTGGCTTGTCTACTACCTGGGACTCCAGTCCACTAGGTGTTGTTGGGGCGTCGTGGCCTCAATGCCAGGTCGAGGCGCTAGACTCGTACGCCTAAACGCGAAACTCGAGGGATCGCGGAATAGGCGGATTTATGAATTAAAAAAAAATTGCGCGAGAATAGTAGATGAGGTATTTATTCGCAATAACACAAGTGCTACAATAAATAAATACGAAATATATATATACGCATATGCGGCTAAGCAGAGAGAGAGAGAGAGAGAGAAAGTAAGAAGCTAATTTAAGAGAGAGATAAGGTGCGCGACAGTACTTACAAATCTGCCCCGAAGAAGTTGGTTCGCAGCAGGCACTCAATCGACAAAAAGAAAAGGCCCCGAAGAAGCAGACACCGGTGGCAGAAGGTCATCACACACACAGATACTCTCGCTCTCTTCCTTGATCCTTAGACTATCCAAGCTCTCCTCTTCTTGATATCGTCGTCAATTTCGTCACCGCAAGCTTGAGTATATCAAACAAAGGGGATCGGATCGCTGGTCAGTGCACGTGTGTTCGCGTTGAAACCCTCAAGCTAAATCTCTCGCGCCGAGAAACTGAGTGCCTTCCTTGCGGTCCGCGCGTTCGATAATCGAACCTGTCTCTCTCCCTGTCCGACTCTCTCTCTCTCACCTACCTTACTTCAGCCCGCTGGAACTTAGTGATACATATTAATACACATTTAATTTACAAGAGTATATTATGATCTGGGAGAGAGACATAACGAATAGCAGTGGCACTTTTTATAGTACAAAAACATGTGAATACTAATACAATTATTGATATGATTAATAAGTTACTAGAGAAGCAAAAGGAACAAATAGCATCAAATCGTTATACTTAAGAAAACAGTTAATAATTCAGTTCCATCGGACAGTAACTTTACTAGTTTTAAAAATCATTATAATGTTGAATTAAAGTTAAGTAACAAAAAAATGAATACAATAATAGTGATAAATCCAAAGAAAACTATTCAAACTTGTCTTTCTGAAGAGTTTCTAGATAATTTTATGATTAATACAATTATAGATTAATAATAAGTTTGTCACTTTAAAAAAAGAAAAAAAGCTAAACAAGCCTAGAGCACTGTGGATTTAGTTATATTCGATGAAGCTGATGAATCATGTTGTCAAAAAATGCGTTGTATCGAAGTTGCATTCACTGTAGAAAACTATGAATGATTTATTTTTCAAGAGATTATTTCACTGCTCTCACTCGAAAAAGCATAAGCTATGACCACAAAAAATATATGAAATATGAAGTCGTTTATATATATATATATATATATATATATATATATATATATATATATTTATATATATTATAATTTTGAATTCTATAATTATCATTTTAATTCTCATCAAAATTAGTTATTTGTCTTTACATTTAAATTTTATGTATACGTAATTATTATGTTGTAATGATGCGTCATCACGTAAAAAAGCTCGACCTACAGGGCTGACGCGAAATCCTCTTCCGATAAGAGGACGCGGACGCCCGATCAGTTGATGCCGTTAGCTCACACAAGAGCATATGATTAGCCCCGAGACCTCGTGAAAAAACACCTCTCAGGACCCGCTCAAATCGATACGCACGACTCTTACGCTCCCGGACTATCACGCACAGCAACCCGAATCGACATTCCTTCAGGAAGCCAGGAGATGCAAAAGGTCGCAGCCGAGATCAGCTGATCCTGCTGGCTAAAGCACGAGAGAGCACCGCACATACATACTAACACCACTGGTCGTCCAATTAGCACACCCGAAGGACCGTCCGAAACACACACACACACACGAACGATTGACCTCACGCGCCCCGGGGAGCAACAGGAACAGCGGTAATGGGACGCGATGTTAACGCGTGAGCCCAGTGGTGGTCATGTTGTGCCGCGCTCGTTAGCAAGCTTGAGCTAGACCAAGAGAGGGGCAACCGAGCGTATGAGTACGAGTAAGATGACCGATAGGAGAGTGCTCGGGGGCGAACGGGGGGATAGCGTAGAGCGTGCGTGTAAGCAAGATAGACGATACCGATAATCATGTAGGGGCGACCGGAAGGCCTAACGAGCGTGTGCGCATAAAGGATAGGTGATAACGACACTAGACTGACCAATGCGCACGACTAGACCGACCAATGATAAATAGGATAGGGGTAGATTGGCGAATAGGGTAAAACCGATGCTATTTAACCGACAAATAAGGAAATTAGGCCCCAAAACTCGACCAGTAATAAAATTGCGTGGGCTAAAAGACTAATATAGACGGCGCTGATAATCGGCTTGACAACAATTTAGACCAATGAGATAAAAACCCGCGACCGTAAGAGGAGGTAATTGAGGAGAAGCGACGCGATGCCGCGAAACGCCGCCGCAGTAGCAGCGGAACAGCTTGACGATGAGCAGTGTAGTGTAACAGTGATAAGCAATCAGACAAAGATGCAAGTGTAGTGTAGTAATAAATACGCAGTAATCAGTAAGAGGATGAAGAGTAGCAGCAAGTAGCAAATCCGTAGCAATCCGAAAAAGGACAGCAGTGTAGTAATAGCAAATCCGCAGCAATCAGACAAAGGGCAGCAGTAGGCGTGGTATCCGGGCAATAAAGAGTAAGTACTCCTTTTCTTTCTCTTCCTTACTTCGCGCTCATCCGTAAACCAGACCGTGTCAACCGACCAGCGCCGCTTGACCTTCACACAATCACCAAATTTACCCTCGCATTAAAGGGAATGCCACCTGACCTTCGCGAGATCGCCGATTTACCCGCGCATTAGCGGAAGTCCGCCAGACCATTCCGTGGCCATCTTTTGTTCTAATCTTCTTGCAATTCCCTTCGCTTTCCTACACAAACCGTGCTCACCGCGAAAGCAGAATGCGATCGTGTCGCGTTGCGCCGCTAACGAAATTCCGAGTAGAATCCGAACATTAGGTAGACTGCTATGGGTAGAAACCGTCGCCAACCGGAGAATCGACCTCGGGCTGACCCGGGGAACTGACCATAATTACTTAATAAATAATAATTTTCGTTAATAAACTGTTATCTTTAACTTAACCTTGCTGAAACTCCGTATTCCCCCGAAGCTAACGCGATCGGATTACACGAAACTGGCTAGCGCGTCGACGCCGAGACGCCATTTTGTGTGCGTGAGAGTTTGAGCCCCCCCCCTTACCACTCTTCACCGTTCCCGGATTGCTGATATGGTGCCTTGAGACGCCGCTCCGATGACCCGCTTCTGAAGAGAGTCCCTGTTTCCGACATTTTTGAATAGCCGCCGCCCACACTTCTCTTCGCACGTAAAATAGGTCTTTGCTTCCCTTTGTCACACTTATGCACATTTATAGTACCGTATTTACATGAGAAGTGAAATGAAATTTATTTTATTCTAAACTATGAATTAGAACTCGTGATAAATTGTAAAAATCACTTTTGAGGAAGGACTTTGAGGGCAGATGTCAGTCCCTCAAAGCATTTTTCCGCCAATAAACAAACACCTATTACTTATTTTTCTATGATCTACAACATGTCAAAAGAATATTGAAATCGGTGAGGTTGGCTTGAGGAAGTTATCTTCTAAGTGTGACTGCGTTTCTATTCTAGGATTAACTTAGTATCCGCTCTTTTCCATCGAAGAGGTTTGTGGATATCTTTGTCTAATTTGTCTACATCGCTCACTACTTGCGAATCGTTTGACGCCCATCCATATATCTTGGAATTGACTTCGCCGTTAATCTGAATTGTATCGTGCATGCATCTCAACATATCTGTAACTGATTTCCTCGGCGCAAGATAGTCGTCCATATAACTATCCTTTGCAATGCTCCATGAAGCTTCAGGCTTTTCAACGGCAAATCTCTCCACGTTTTCATTCTTTACGTAGATTGCGCTATATGGAAATGATTTTGACTCGAAAATCAAACTAATATTTTCGTAATCATCTGGTTCTTCAATCATAATAAAAACAAAAATAAATCAACACGCACACATACACACCAGTGAAATATACTTTTAACCAACTAGTGTCGCAATAACAGACAAACATAGCCCAATAATTGCATCTGCTATTTCCAAAAAAAAATAATGAAAGAAATATAGACGAAATATTTTAAAAAACTTACTTAAGAAACTAATTCATAGTAGGAGGCGATTTCAACGTAGAA